CGAGTTGTTCTGAGACACACCCCAGAAAAGGGGCGGGGCTTTTGGAGTTACAATAAAGAGGAATTTAGAGCAAAGCATTGGAGTTCCACTTTTTATAGACCCAAACTGAAGGATTTAAATGTGGAAATGAAGGATTTAAACAGACAGCCTCAAAACGAGTTGTTCTGAGACACACCCCAGAAAAGGGGCGGGGCTTTTGGAGTTACAATAAAGAGGAATTTAGAGCAAAGCATTGGAGTTCCACTTTATATAGACCCAAACTGAAGGTTTTAAATGTTAAAAGGAAGGATTTAAAGAGATAGCCTCAAAACGAGTTGATCTGAGACACACCCCAGAAAAGGGGCGGGGCTTGTGGAGTTACTACAAAGAGGAATTCAGACCAAAGCATTGCAGTTCCACTTTATACAGAGCCCAAATAAGGTTGTAAATGTGAAAAAGGATTTAAAAGGGACAGCCTCAAAACGAGTTGATCTAAGACACGTCCCAAAAAGGGGCGGGGCTTCCAGAGTTAGAATAAGGAGGAATTCAGACCAAAGCATTGCAGTTCTTTATACAGGTCCCATCTGAAGGATTGAAAGCCATGATCATCATTAAAACAAGTTAATTTTTCAAATTGTTGCTGTTTAATAAAATTAAAAAATCCAATTAAATTCCAGGTTATACGGCAGCACAATGAACAGTTCACCAGTGAGGACCAATATTTCCGCAGGACTCTGTAAATGTGCTTCATCACGTGTTTTTGGGAGCTGGTTTCTATCCTCAGGTACGCTCAGTGCCTCCCCACTAATGGCACGGCAAAAAGCAAAAACATAAATAAAACCACTCTGTAACCAAGGCAACAAAATGATCCATCATTCCAAGAGCTCACAAAGAGCTACAAATTGTTGTGTGGATGATGTCTATTTTTTTTGGGGGGGGGGGGGCATAATGTGGCTCTGTGTTGATTTATTATACGACCCAGGGAGGGAAAAATGCTTCAAATTTTTGGTGTCATCCGGATTCAAAATGTTGCTTTAGCATCAATAAATAATGACAACGTAATGGATGAGTAATACATCACAATGATTCAGATTAGTCTCCTGCTGAATGTRAGATTGGGGTGGGGGGGCGGGGGGGAGTTAGCTGGAGGCAGAGAGAGAAGCTCGAGGAGTTAGCATGTCAGCTCATAGCGCTAATGTTCTGCGACGCTGGGAGAGGCTGACCTCACTAAATGAGGATTAATGCAGGACCAGGACTGGAGCTTGTGTCTGTCGACACACTCCTGCCTGCCCCCCCCACCCCCCCACACACACACCAGCTGGTAATTGATTGCACTCATTGAGGGTCCGCGTTCCTCGTTCAGCCTTTGAACGTGAGTTAAATGATGCTCTGTAAAAAAAATAAAATAAAAAATGACTGCATCTTGAGGACAGAGAGAGAGAGAATGGGAATACCGAACAGGTTTTTTTTTTTTTTTTTTTTTTTTTTTGGACCACTGCTCGCGTAGACTCTGTGAGGTTCAGCGCTTTTTGTTGTGTTGCCATGGACAACCAAAATGATTAAAAGCAGAGGAGCTCCATCGCTGCAAAATCCTTGAGTTTTACCCACAAAGACGACGTTCTGTATGAAAACACAGCCCAGCTGTACAAGTTAACAACATACCAAAATTTACAAACTCTTCCAAATCCCTTCTGGCTCTTTAGTTGACATTAGGATCAAATATAGAAGCTGTTCATCTGTTTCATCAAAATATTATTGATCATAATTTTGTCATCACTTACCAGAGCAAACTATCAATTGAGACGCATTTTTTGGTTCGGTGCAAAGAGATGCAGGACAAATATTGCACAGAATATACATTTTTGGGGGCGGGGCTTTAATGTCTGTGCATTCAGGGGCGGAGCTAGACTTTTTACAGGAGGGCGGGGGGCACATAAAATAAAGAAAAGCACTCTGGTTTTGAAAATTCAATATGTCCACCACATCTAATTCCACATAGCTTTAATTAAACTGTTTTAAAAAAATATTGAGCTAAACTATGTGATCATAGCAAACAATTAAAAAAACCACTGAATGAAAGACCCAACATATTATTCAGGCATTTTTAGACATAAAGCAGAAAACTAGTGTAAAAGTAGCCGAAAACGATCTTCACCAAATTCTAAATGCTAATCAAAAATTCAAATTGGCCGCCACAGCTAAATTTYAAAGGCTATAATTCAGCAATTTTATTATTTGAGAAACAATTTGTTGTGGATTAGTTAAAAACAATGACATAGCAATTGCAAATGCTAATCCTAAATTAAGCTAACCTCTAATGCTAATGCTAATGTGACAAATGGCTATAATTCAGCTTGTTTTAAACAGCTGGAAGTTTATACAGTACAGTATCAGAAAATTTAACAAAATCTAAATGCAAATGAAAAGTCCAAGATCTCCACCCACTTGTAAATTATTTGGGGGTTGAACCTGGGGTGGTCAACCAGGTGCCAGAGGTGGCACTTGCCACTCCAGCCACCCCTCCAACTCCACCCCTGTTTTCATTGATACCTCAGGTTTTTGTGTATTCTAATAAACTAAAGCTCAATATTTCATTTTTGGCACTTTTATACAAACTTGTGTACAATATGTCTGCCATTTTGATTCAATCCATCCATCAATCCATCCATCCATTGATCCATCCATCCATCAATCCATCCACTGATCCATCATTGATCCACCCATTGATCCATCCATCAATCAATCCATCCACCCACCCATTGATCCATCCATATATCCATCCATCCATCCACTGATCCAGCCATACACCCACTGATCCATCCATTGATCCATCGATCCATCAATCCATCCACTGATCCATCCATCCATAGATCCTTCCATCCACCCATCCATTGATCCATCCATACACCCATTGATCCATCCATTGATCCATCCATCCATCAATCCATCCACTGATCCATCCACCCATCCATTGATCCATCCATACACCCATTGATCCATCCATTGATCCATCCATCCATCAATCCATCCACTGATCCATCCACCCATCCATTGATCCATCCATACACCCATTGATCCATCCATTGATCCATCCATCCATCAATCCATCCACTGATCCATCCACCCACCCATTGATCCATCCATCCATCTATCCATCCACCCACCCACTGATCCATCCATAGATTCCATTGACCCATCCATCCATCCATTGACCCATCCATCCATCCTAAGCTGTTCCCAGACCATCTCAGAGACATGGTCTCCCCAGAGTGACCTGGTATCTACGTCCAGTTGGAGGCATCCTCACGAGAAGAACCACCTCTGCTGGTTCATCTGGATGTGGAGGACTATCGGCTCTACTCCGAGTCTCTCCTGGAAAACTGAACCGGTCTCTAAGGGAGAGTCCATCTACCCTGAGTAGAAAACTCATTTAGACAACCTGTACCCAAGATCTTGTTCTGTAGTTTTTGTGACTGAGGGTAGGAACGTAAACTGACCGGTGAACAGAGAGCTTCTCCTTACTTCTCAACTCCCACTTCACCACAACAGACTGGTACAGTTTCCACAATATTATCACACACTTCGTTCTATGCTTCAGCAAAAATCCCATCAACCTGAGGCAGAACCTTACCCCAGCCCAGAGGACAGTCCATCGTTTTCTGACTCAGGGCCAATTATTATTACATTTTTATAGTTTACTCCCTGTTTGAAAACATCTCCGGGTACCTGTGATGTGACATACTGTTACACTTTACTGTTTTTAAACTGGATTGTTTTCTGTGACACATTATGGGATTTTCTGTGTCTCACCAACTSTTTGTTCCAAATCTTCAATGCTTTTGCTGCAGCACAAACCAACAGGACATCCTCTCATTAAAGACAAAACAAAAGTTTCAACAAAAACAACACTTTTTTATATCATCTGACTTCACAGCATCGATCACGATAATCCTTGAAGTTTTTCTCATCTTATGTTCCCACATTCTCTCAGGCTCCTTCCTTACGTTACATCTAAATATAGACTTTAACGGCTGCTGAGCAAAAAAACTAAAACAGATTTAGAAATAAACACAATGAGTCATCGAGGCATGGCGTTACAGACTGGAAATGGTTGAAGTGTTTTACTGTCCACTGGAATGTAGAAAGGAGCCGGTTATTCACGAGGAACGAGGCTCGGCGGCTTGGTGAAAGCTTTTGGGGGGCGTCTCGGCGGGGGCCACTAGTCATACCGGCCCCTCCGTCAAACCCTCCATGGGGAGGGTGGTGGCGTTGTCGGTGGGCTGCGGCTCATCCTGAGGGGACGGCGGCATCTTGGCGGCGGCGGCGGCCAGGCTGGCGTAAGGCAGGTGGCAGTCCGTGTGCAGGAAGGGGGGGTAGTGCTGGCGGTAGCAGACGTACGCGAACATCAAGCCGATCGCTCCCCCGACGAAGGCGTCTGCGGAGTCACACAAACACAGGGTTCAGAGCGGACGGCTGTTTTTGGGCRGGTGTAAGATAAATAACTGGAGCTCTCCCAGAACCAGCTCAGCTAATTAGGAGCTGCTGAACGTGCTGCGGTGTTTCAGAGAACATTCATCAGACCCCGCCCGTTTGGAGGGGGGTGAAAGCAAAGCGATGGCTCTGTTCAACTGAGCTCTGCAGACTCAGGTGCCTCTGAGACCTGTGGCTTCTTCAGCTTTAACACATCGTGCGATAAATCACTGCTGGGGGGCGGGGAAGTTAGGCTGTTAGAAATACAACCAAACTTTGAAACACAGGGGGCTATCAGAGCACTGACTGCAGCTTTCTGGCCCATCACTGATCACAGTCTTTAAAAGCCTTACATTGATTTGATTACGTCAATGTTTCACTCTTATTTTATTGAAAAACACTGAACATTACCCTTAAAACTAGTTTTTTTAAATAAATAATAATAATAAAGCAAATCTAAAGGCTGTCAACCTTRATTTGTAACCACTTGGGACGTCCTGACGTCACATGCAGCCGGTTCTGGAACATGTGCACGAGCAGAAAGCACCAAAACAAAGAGGAAACTATAAAACTGGAGGAAAGAGATTCAAATGATCCTGTCTTCATTAAATGCAAAGATTTGGGCTTGTTTTGTTTTGTACTGAATGAGTTTGAGATTAACATTCCTTATATAAACGGGCTCTCAAGATCCATGGTAAGAAAACACGGTTGTTTCGTCATTATATCCTTGCAAAGTATAAAATTCTTAGTTTTGAGAACTTAATCAAATTTACAAATATATGTCTGCTTTTCAAGATTATTCATGGTTCAGCTGCACCTCCCTTGAAAAAATTTGTATCCCTTAACTCTGGGAAAACATCTAGAGTCACACGTTCAACTATTCCTGGTGAGTAGAGTTCCTAAATGTAAAACTTCTTTTGGTAAATCAGCTTTTTCAAGTGTTGCCGTCCAACAGTGGAATACTTTGCCAACAGAACCATTGATATGTACAGATTTTCATAGGTTTTCATGCAGAACAAAACAATGGCTTCTCCTAAATCAAACCTGCTCTCATAATGTGAACTGATGTGAGTGGGGTATTTGATCTAAAGAGCATGTAGGACGACTTGTTGTAGAGCAGGGGTGGGCAATCCTGGTCCTGGAGGGCCGCAGCCCTGCATGTTTTACTTG